TGACCAATTCATTATTGTTTTTTCTTTCTTGAGGGATTATTATCAGGCGAGCGTGCGGAGTAAGGAAACTTGCCCAAGGTTTTGCCCTGACCTGCCGGGAATCGAACCCGGGTCTCTCGCTTGCCAGGCGAGTGTTCGAACCACTGAGGTACAGCACATTGTAGTCCAATTGCTAAGGTGGAATGTTTTCAGGTGCAGAATGACCCAGATGCTCAATTAGAAACTTGTAGCTGTGTTGCATCATACTTTTGCTACCATGTGTTTTCATTTTGTTCGATTTTTTTTCAAAAAAGCAAGTTCCTGTATAATCTAACTTGTCGAATCTGGAAAGACGCTCATATGGTTTGTTTGTGGGGTAGCAGCGTCTTGAGAGATGGATGGTGTGTTCTGGATGAGAGGTCTGTTGGCAAGCCACGCTGTTTCTCATCAGTGATGTCGTTTGGGTTGAATTTGCGTAGTCGGAGTGTTGTAAGTCTGGTGGAATCAGCGTTCGGAATATCCATTTGTTCTGCAATACGTAAAACATCTTGTGGGAGAGCTTCTCTTTGTGTCGCTTAACGTTTTGTTTTAGGTCAACTTAATTTTCAGCCTGTCAAGATGATCGTCAATTTGAACATGCAAATACCAGTTCCTAACCTCCCCAGGTTGATATTATGTTGGAAAAATTTGCATTCCTTTCTCTTTGTCATTTTTCAGTGGAGGTTTGAGGCGTGTGCGAGGTACAGCACTCGTTTTGTTTGCTGGTTGTCTGCTGATGTTGCTATGGTGCTGGGAACCATGAGAATGCCTCTGTTCATTGTTTGTGAGTGACACGAGGGAGGACAGTTTCAAATGCCGCAGTCACTCTGCGTGTTCATTTGCAGGAGGATGAGGACACGGCAGGTAAATGGGACTGAATGGATTGTCGCTTCAAAGAGAAGGCACAGATATGATGAGCAGTGTGATCTTTTGTGCAGTCAAGTTGTATGGTTCTACGGTCCTATCCCTTGCAGTGTCGTGTGAAGTTTGAAAGCAATGGCTGGATTCAGAAAGATACATTCCAAATAATCTATCTGTATTCAAGAGTCCGACCAACTGAGTCAAGCTGACACCAGTAAGCATCGAAGAGAAATTAGGAACAATAATAGATATTGTTCCCAATTTCTATTCAATGGGCTTTAGAGCCTAGGCAGCCCCCTCATGTTACGGCGTTACTTTAGGGGCGACCTGACCAAAGCGTTATATAACTTGAATAGTTCATCTGGAGATCTAAAGCAGTGAGTTGTCCGAACAGCACAAAGGATTGAACTGGTGACAATCAGATGTTTGTCACAGGATATCTAGAGATTCTGGCATGAACAGTACAGATAACAATTAGGGCAAGGACACCGTTATGTAACTAGAGTAAGGAGTGGATTAGATTTATCCTGTGTGTACGCCACATCTCCTTGACAATACTGAGCTGGTATCATATCCACCTTTGTAACTCGCTACCTTATTCTTGTCACAGGCATCCAATTATATAACAGGCAGCATTCAATTACCGAGGAGCAAGCAGTCGGCTTGTCCAGCTAGGTCCACCCTACTCTACCCTACCCATTAGGGCTTTGGGTTAACAGGAGCTGAGTCAGAGGATTCCCCACTCCCAATGACTGATCTGCCTTTCCAGGTCCTGCCGATGAGCCAGGCTGGGCTGTGCTGTCATCAGTAGGGCCCTGGAGTACTGTGGACCCGCCTGGCTCAGGAACAGGACTACCGAGAGGGTTGGCTCAATTCCGACATTCCATTGCCAAACATGTAACCTTGGAGCCAGTTCAGCTCCAAGACCTGCTTACCGCCCCCCACCCCCCCCCTCCCACCGGGGGATAATCATTAGTTGGTCGTTCGACATCCGACAAGCGCGGGTTTGAGCCCTCACTGGTGGATAGTAGGTACCAGGAACTCCCTGCGAGCTTCCCGGTAGGCAACAGCTCAACGTGAAATGCGTAAGAGCATTGCCACCAATGTCTGCAGTTCGGGAGCACATCCCTTCCCATTGAGCGATGGTTTCACCAGTTGGAGGTGTGGAGTTTAAGCAGCAGCTGGTGGCCTCTCCGCAAGCCAATCAAGGGGGAATCCCAGGTGTCGGATGTAGATTACTGGATTAATGGATATCAACTCCTGATATTACATTCTTGAATTGTAATGTTCCTGATTAACAGAAGCAGCACCAGATAACTGGGCCTGAAATTCCACCCGGATCCTGACTTCCAGGATTTTCTTAGCATTTCAAAACCGCCAGAATTTAGCAAGTTCATGAATTCAGTCTTAATTATGAAGCAGATTTTTCCATATTTCGTAGAACTTCTTCAGAATTGGCTACCTAAATGTAAGGATTTCCCCAGATCAGTACGTCCTGAAATGCTGAGAAAATCATGTTATTGACCCAGTTGTAGCTTCTCCTCACTGAGAACCTGACACGTTAGATTGGACAACTGCATCATCCCAGTGAAATAATGGGAGTGGGAACAGCAGGAAAATGTCACCATGCCCTTTACTTATTACTTTCTCACACTTCCATTGTTTTCGACAAAATGAAAAAGCCAGAGAGGAAAAATACTGGCCAGGTTTAAATAATGGAAACCTACTTTTTGAAACGTGGGCTTTGCAAAAGATAGGCAAGATGTGGCATCAAAAACCAGCAGGAAAGAAGGCGTGCGAGAGAGCGCTTGTTCAAATGCTACTCCATTTCAGTCTGCTCACTTTTTTACGATTTGATAAGTCACTTTCATGCAAGACTCAAGATAGAAATGCTTATTGTACTCATGATAGAAAAATTGCGGAATTGCAGATAGTAAATTATTTTTTCCATTATTGTCTAGATCCTTGTCAGTGCAGAGATGAAACTCTTCTGTGGTTTATACATCACTGCAAAAATAACAATAAGGGCAGTATATATTATGTAAATGCCAAGAAACGTATAACTCTAGTAAATGTATATATATTGTGGAAATCAGTTGTGTGCAAGAATAACTATTGTAGACAAGAGTAAAGAAGACACGTTCACTTCTTTTAGTTTCAATTATTAGTCCCAGAACCTTAAGTTTATGATTTTTAAATTTGATCTGTAAATAGATAAATATTAAAGACATTTATTATCACAAATTGTACAAACAGTCTGAGGGGGGGGGGAAGTAATTAAAATACACAAATCTGGATAGGAAAAACAACTGTAAATGAAGAAAGCAATAAAGACAATTTACTGTAGCATCTGTTTCACATTCAAATGATATCAAAAAATATATTTTCTAACTCCTCCATAGCCAGCCAGTTGGGGGGCAAGTTCAGGGTCAAAATATGTTTTCCATCCACTCATTTCACATAGATTGTGTTTCATTGAGGGGATGGGTGAGGGGTGGGGGAGAAGGAAAGCTTCCTAATGATTCAGCTCATATCAAATATCACACCCCCCCACCTTCCAGTATTTTTCCAGCAGGGTGTCATGGCCAAGAAACAAGAGTATTTCTTCCAGTTTTATGGAATAGAAAAATAAATGTACTATCTTGGAGTACTCTCCAAGTGGTGGAAACATTAATGGAAAGTCCAACAATTGTGTATCGATTGAGCTGGGTGGCATTGCTCAACTGTCCTGAATACTTTTGATTAATTAGCTTCATCGGAGCTTTTTATTTTACTGTCTCTGATGGAAATATGTTTTTGTGAACGCAACCACTTCGAAAGGGGAACAATTGAAGAATTCTCAGTCAAGTACATTTTTAAAGAGGTTATCATACAGTAAATGTGATCATCCATAATATCTAACACCTATCAGAGACTGAAATTCAACAGCCAACCTGTTGCACCAATCTCTAAAGAAGCTCTAATAATAATAATAATAATCCTTGCATTTGATATAGCGGTTTTCACGTTGGGAGGACGTCCCAAAGTGCTTCACAGAACACACTGTAAAGTGAATTGACTGTATATTTGTGGGCGAACGCGGCAGCCAATTGCGCACAGCAATGTCCCACAAACAGTCATAGATTGAAAATGACCAATTTATTATTGTTTTTGGTTTTTGAAGGGATTATTATTAGGCTCTGTGTGGAGTAAGGAAACTTGCCCAAGGTTTCGCCCTCTGCCTGGAATTGAACTCAGGTCTCTCGCTTGCAAAGCGAATACTCTAACCACTGAGCTACAGGACTCCACAAACACACAGACACACAAGATTTTGGAGCAGATGTGCCGAAAGAGCCTCTTGTTCCACATCATTTCAGTATATCCACTTAAGTTCATTATCATTAAGTTCAAATGCAAGGATTATTATTAAGTTGACAGTGAAAGAAATGACAAACGTTCAGCGGAGGAGCTTTGTTGATGGAGATGGTTTTAAATGCTGTATTCATGTAGGTTCTCTCTACACAGCATCCAACACATTGGAAAGTAGATAATTTAAGAGTCAGTAACACAAAATTGCTGGTGTAAAAATCCTTCTTTCTCTCTCCATTCTGTGCAGAACTAAAATAAAAATGTTTTTCTCCATGTTTTGGACGGATTTTGCGTATGCAGGCTATAAATTCTGGTTGCCTCTTCCCTCACAGTGGTTGCTGGATAGATGAGAGCATAACGCAACCTTTTCACAGGAAGTTAACATTTCTTAAGACCTAATTACTGTTGACAAAATAATGCAGTGCGAAAAGTTGATCTCAATTAACAGGATGCCACAGACCTTCATTAGAACTAACAGGGAACACAATGTCTTTCCCTGGTAGAAATACTGTTCTTAAGCAGATACTTATCGGTAATTTTTGATGGGAGTTAATTGACTCAGCACTGAAAGTCTGTTCCACGATGGAGGGAAACATTTCTTCTAATCTCTATTCTTGCTTGAGGCTTGTTTATTTTAAATTAGTTCCACTCTAACTGTTTATTCAAATAGCTTGCTCACTTTTCTCTCATCATTTTACAGCTCTTTAAAGACCTGTATCATGCCGCTTCCAATCTAATTTTCTTTGGTAAAAACAAACGCAATGCTCTTGAGGTGTGATATCAAATTTGATAATTTAATGTTGATTGGAAGCTTTCTATGAACAATGTCAATAACTCTTGTGTCTGTGCAATTGGCTACTGAATTTCATAAGAGTTGTTCACGAGCATTTCACAACTTGATTATTTATACCTTGGCATATGCTCTCATGTACAAGACCACATTCACCTACACCATATCAATACTCTTAGACCAGTCTGAAACAAAATACTGCAGGTTTGCTTCACCTAATAGCACATCATTGATAGTTATAGAGAAATAGCGGGGGAAAGGATAGGAGCAGACAGCTACAGTAGGGGAGCTTGCAGCGGTGTAGACACAACGGTGTCAATGGTATCCCTCTGTGCTGTAAACTTTCAATGATTCCACTTGCAAGTTAAAGATCAAAAGCTCAGCTGCATAAAATATTCAAGCGTCATGTTGTGTTGATTGAAAACAAACGGAGAATGCAGTGGAAATGAAGAAATAAAACCAGAAAACACTGGATACTGTCAGCAGTTGAAACTGCATCAAAGAGGGAAAGGCTCCTTCAAGTTTCGAGTTGGATCTTTCATCAGAACTTTCATCAATTTTTTAGCATCTTTGTTAAACTGAAGCATGGACGCACTGTTAGTGGAATTGGCAAGTAACTGTTCCAAACCAAGGAAAGAACAGGGTAGCCTCAATGCTTTATATTGCCATCAGTTACACAAGCTTCAGGAGGAATCAATAGCAGATCATTAACCTTTGCACCCAGCAAAGATCTTATCAATTTATCAGTGGAATAACAAAATGCAATGACCAATCTTATTGATTTTGTGGCATTTTTGATTCAGTGACCATGTAGGTCTCAGGATAGACTAAAAGCTGGTTCGATCTCTTCTGTAGTTGCAACACAATCACTATTTTTTCAGGAAGCAGGCGGTGTCTACTAAAGTATATTAAAGTCCACATCATCATTTCTGCGACTCATTCAGTTACAAGTTGGAAAATAATTACATGATCAATACTCAAAACAATCAATAGTGTGTTGAATAATGACACAAGTTAACATCTGTATAGAGTAGTGGTAGATACTAAAGCTTATTGTTCCCTGAAAATTAGATCATACATTGTGGAGCATCAAATAGTGTGCAACAAAAAATCAATACCAAATGACAGACGAATACCAAATTGAAGGAAATATAGCAGTCTAGAAAGTGTCCTCTTGTCAATGTCCACTACCCATTCACTTGATCTTCACAGTTTTCTCTTTCTGACGATAGATTTCTTCTGTGAATGGCCTAAAATTCCCAAACAAGTAACAAATGTGTGATTTGGTGGGGGTAACAATTTCATCTCTCACTGAACAAAATGATAAAATGCTTCTTTTCAAAAGTAGGTTAAAACTAAAGATGTGCTTGTGTAAAATGCGCACTCATAAAATGTGCACTTTGAGACGTCTCGAAGGCGTGACAAGGCGCTATATGAAAATGCAAGGATTTTTTTATTATTAGTATCATCATATCAGTAGGTTGCTTATTTAAAACATTTTTGGGGTTAGAAACGAAAATCAGACGCCCTGAATATGCAGCAATACCTACCCTTCAATCATAATAGCAATCTTGTAGACTGCAGCCACCCAAACCGTCAGGACCAATCCAGCAGGACTTGCGTGCCTACCAATTATTTCAGCATAGAGGAAAAGAAACAAATGAGAGATTATTGACAAGATTACTTGCTGTACCATACTAACTGGCGGTGCCTCAAATTAATTACTTTGTCAAATAAATAGCAGAACATTCAACTATACTTAAGTACATCCCAGTGTCCCAGTGATACACTTTTCTAGTACAGTGCCTGTCGATATTATCAGCAAAACGTTATACAGGAACCAACCAGAGCGAGTTCCATGACCTATTTTATTTATCTCCTGCAGTTGGTTCGATAAAATACTGCTTTTTTTTTCCCGTGAACTCAACTGCCAAGGTTATCATATAGGTTTGTAAACCATTGCACAACCACAAGGTTTTATTCATTCCCTTGCCCTTGGAACATCTGCACATCTTTGCTACTTTGGCTGTTGTTTTGTGACTCCACCACTTAAAGCTGACTTTATGTGGGTACATATTGTATGCTCTGCCATCTCACTCTGTCCCAAACACAATTTTGAACCCCACCATTACAAGTGGGCAGGTATGGGCAGCCAGCTCAAACTGGAGAGATTCCCAACCAATAACAATATAATAATAATCCTTGCGTTTGATATAGTGCTTTTCGCGTCTTCTAGACGTCTCAAAGCGCTTCACAGCATATACTGTAAAGTGCAGTGACTGTACATTTGTGGACGAAACGTGGCAGCCAATTGTGCACAGCAGGTATCCCCACAAACAGTCGTGGATTGAGTAACCAAATTATTATCACTTCTTTATTATTTTTCTTCTTGTATGGAGGAACTCGCATTTTAAAATAATGCCTCCAAGCGCCTCGCAATAATAATTATCAATTGTATGATTTGTCGCAAATAAATAAATTGAAACCAAGGATTCAGAGGAGTATTTAGCTGATTTCAGCTGACAGGATTCACCTGTTAGCAACCTCGCTGTGTTTTATTTCTAGTGTCACTCCACTTTTATTATATTGTTTATTTATTAACTAATTAACTTTACTGGTAAAATCCTCTTAGAAAGAGCTCTAGTCGATTGACTTCCCACATAGCAGTAAATATTTGGAAAGGAATGTTGTGCACGCTTAATGCGATTTCTACATGTTTTTAGCTGCTGGTTAAATGCATCTTTGGAACAGATGTTTCAGTATATTGCTACCCTGAGGCGCTGACAATGTTCTGCTCCCTATGACCAGCACCATTTTTGACGTCATTGCAGAAGGAATGTGCCGCCAAATGTTTGTTCTCAACTCGAGAGAGTATTGTGACCAGGCTGGGTAAGGAACACATGTTGCAAACGATGTACGACTAAGACAATGCTTTAAATGAAGATATTAACTTGAGATGAGTCAACATTTAGCAAAGTTGCAGCCCATTTTAACCCTCACAGCGCCAGGAGACAATGCAACATTTCTGACTCTCTTCATTTTGATGAAATGTAGTTCACAGCCGAGGATGGTAAAACAAACAGTGATGTTACAGTAACTAAACTACTCAAACGTCAGGAGTTAGCTTTATTGCTGTAATATTAACCTCATGCTATGCAAAGAACGCAGAGCGAGAGAAAGCAGATACCTGCAATCTTAAATAAATATGGAAATGCTGAAAACCAATGCAGCTCCAACAGCAATAGAAAGAGAACAAACTATTCACGGTTTGGGGAATTACCTGTTCTTCTCTTTGAAACGATCACTCGACAGGCTTTCCCATCAACCTCCTCTGACTTACAGTTAGAACATTCCTTTGTACCTAACCACTTTTTAAACTCATCTTACTTTCACTCCTACACTTGGTGGTTCACTGCGCTACAGCTTTTCACCTAGAATCTCAACAAATGGATTACTGAACTGCTTGGTTTCACTGCAGCAGAGTTATGTATTCATACATATGCCTAACTCACCACTCCCGATAACTCATCCCTGAGCCCTTTTCCCTTGGAGCGTCGACTTATCAGCAGTTTACTGCCTTTCTAAAATAATGTGAGTGAGTACAAGCCAAACAACATTTTACAACTAAGTCATAAATTGTTAAAACATTATACGATAATGCTAACAAATACGCTTTAAACGCAAGCGCATTTTTGGAAGTATGCCACCAAAATTGTTTTATTAACATAAAAGGTTATTGTAACTCATTAAAAGTAAAAGACTAAACATAGCAGAACAGACATGCATATTTGGCTACTAGAAAAGCTTTTGACAACCAGTGGATAAGCAAATCTGAGCATGTTATAGTGGCTTGAATAGGGAAATATCAAATTGTTATTACTACTGTATTGAATATAGAAAATAGGCACATTTACTGTTCACTTCTGAAATAGTACTTTGTTACTTACGACATAGGTCTTCAAGTCTAAAATGGCTCTATGGTCAAATACATAAAAGCTATTGCAAAGTGCATTTCTGTTTTAAATTCAGTGCAGTATTTTATTTTGTACCTGTGAAAGGTAAAAAATAAAACACTGGACTGAATGATCACTTTGACCTGCTTTTGAAATGGAAAGTCACTCAAAGGAAAACACGCTTCAGCAAAGGCAGCTTAAGAAATGTGCTTCTGAGAAAGGGAGAGGTAGGAGAGCAACACTGAAACTGAAGGAATATACAGGATAGTGATTTAATTGATATACATACATGAGAGCCCAGCCGAAGTAGTTTAGTGTGCTCCCCCAATACATCGGGTTTTCCATTATATTAAAAGGAAAAGCTGTTACCTTGGCCTCCATCAAGATCCCAAAATAGTCTCCTGTGAAAAGTATACAGTAATTTAAATTTTTTTGTACAGTACACATTCATTGTTTCTTTAGTTTAGTTGTTTAGATCAAGGAACACAAGGCTCTATATATACTGTATATATGGTTGCACATATAACACATCAATATAGCTAGATATAAAATATATAAAGGTTTTTGCATTTGCTGTTTGCAATGGCTGATCTGATGAAATTACTGGGCATGGGAAGGTGAAATGGATTACACCCCCACCACCCCCCCCCCCCCCATTAACGTTTAAATCTGAAATTCCTACTGGAAAATCCTGCAATTATTATTGGAAGTTTCTCTAGGGTTAGAAAATCAATGCAACGCACAATTATCAATTGCAGTTTCGGACAATTGAGGATGATTCTGATGGTGTCAGCAAAAGGCATGCATTGAGTTAGCTACGACACCCCCTTTCATTGCTAGCTTTGGTTGGTATAACACCAGCGCGAGTCGAGAGATCACATTCGAGGTACATTTGCACCTGTTCTTTTTGAAAAAAGAAACTCCCCCAAAAAGGTCTGCTCGTGAAAAGTTTTGGTGATCTGGCAATTTTGTTTTTGATTTAAATACCAGTTTTTTAGAAGGTGTTACACATATGCCCGAATGTGAATGACTGCATTTGTTTGCAGCCGTCCCAAGCAACAATCTGAGATAATCTTGAGATTGTTGCTAATTGTATATTGTGAACTGCCCTTTATATTCCCAAAACAAGCACAATCCACTAACAATGTCCCAAACCTCCATACAAATTCTCTTGGGGGAAATCTGACCAAATGTGAACACACATATATTGCGTGTTCTTCAGATGCATGCATCACCACGGGCTAATAGTTCTTCCACTATATAAGGGTAGAATTTCACCTTTTTATTTTGTAGCTTCCCAGGTCCACACTGCACAAGCTGCAGACCACACAGAACTCTGCAGCTCGTGTCCTCTTCTGTACCAGGCTCTGCTGGGCCCATCAGAACCATGTTTGCTCGGCTTCACTGGTTCTCCATTGCCCAGCAGATCAAAAATTCAAGATTCTAGTATACGTGCATATGCAAGCCAGATTATACACAACGGAGCAAGGCACAGAAGGGCATGGGAGGGAGTAAGGAGTAGGTAGAAACTCCTGCGACGTATAACCACTGGCATGACTAGTTGGGCCGAATAGCTTGTTTCCATGTTGTACAGTCTATGTAAATGTATGCCCAATTCTGCTCCACACCTCCGAACAAAGGCAGACAATTTAGGGGTAAGCGGGTGAGGGAGAGGTAGAAAACAATCCCTGCCCAATGTCGTTATGGCCTCAATGTACTATTTGCTGATTTCTCAGTTACTCACTTATAGTTTCCAGTCAAGTGAGCAATCTCCTGAAATTGCAAGATCCTATCTGCGCAGTACTTGCTGACGATCTGGCTGCAGGTTGAGGAAGCAGAGGGCAATGTGACGAACGAGGCAGTGATATACCAGAGGGGACACATACCAAATCATGCCACATGGCTAAGCCTATGCAACTGAGCCTCACACCATTTAGCAGGAAAATAATTAAATTTATTTGAATTCAGAGCAACAGCTGCTGGCACTGTTCTGGAGTGCATCAAACATACTGACAATAAGTATACGTAACACAGTGCAGAATAGGGTCAGTATCATTTTGTAATCAGTGGCCTAAACAATTCAGTTAGTCAAGGCTCATAACATTGCACGTAACCTGCCACTGGTCCATGTAACATCTATATAACACATCCAGTAATGACAATCCAGCAAGTGTCTCATGACAAGTCAAAATTCAGAAATGGGAGTTCTAATTTGATCTAAGTGGTTGGTTATTATCCTGTGTTCTGCTTTAATTTGATTCATTCTACGCTTTTCCTGGGACACATTTTCTTCTTCCACATAAGAGAGTGATTTTTCCTCTAAGGATAGTTTTAATATTGCGTCAAGATCACATAGAGAGACTGGAAAGCAGCAGTCAATGGAATATATAAACTCTACATGTAAATTGGGTTTGTGGCTTTGTTGCTGAAGATCCTTGTATCAGTTTCAGGTAGAACAAACCACAGAGGAATTATGCACATAGTTGTTCAAGACTAAAGAATAATGACTGGGGATTTCTAAAGAAAAATAAGATTAACCTATATATTTATAAATTGAACAATCCTAAACAACCTACAAACCTTTACAGAAAAAAATGCTGCTTTACGCTATCTAACTACTATAATTGTAATAATTAGCTACTGGAGACCTCAGGATATATTTTAAAAATCACCAGGGGCTCGATGTACAATGACTTACTTCAAAGCACAGCAGTGTTACTACAATAATTAAGTTACTCTGGTAAATTTAAAAGGAGGCAGAGAACAACATTAGGAGACAGAAATTGAAAGAGATTTAAGAGACACTATTTATAACTGGCAGATTTATCCACTGGGTTATCACACAAGAACTCAGTAATTGGATTCCATAGAAAAGTACTGAATTACAAACGGAAATAATGTTTAACATTGCAATGAGTTCAGTTGTGTTAGGTTTTTTTGCTGTTCAGTCTAAGTCTGTATTATTCTCATTTGGGATACCGTCCATGGTGTAAATTATGTCATTAATGGGCTCATCTTGCAAAGTGAAATTAACTCAGTGACACATTGAAGCTGCTGCAATATTCTACCAAACTCTGTAGCATCTTGAAAGAACACAATATATTTGCTTTAAAAAGTCAGATGATTGATTTTTTGTGGGTGAGAAATATAACTAGTGTCTCATATCAGTCTCGGTGAACCCTTCAGCAACTCATGTCAAGATAGTTGAACACTTTTGGAGCATGGCAGGGATTTTGTACCAAATGTCTGTTCCCAAACTGCCCCTGAACAACCCAAAATTTTAGTTGGTTTACTAGGCTAAAACAAGGATAGGAAATGTGTCTCTTGTCTACAAACATGACACATTATACTTGGCAGTGCATATGTTCATCAAAAACAAATTAATGCTCAATAATTTAATTTTCAGGTTCAGTTCAGGATGATTAATACTGTCACCAATAAGACAAACAGGAGGTTCTCACCTAAAAATGTGCCGAAAAATCCCAATGCAAAAAAGCTGCTTATGACAAAGACAGTGCCGAGAAGCAGGAATCCAAGACCGACATAAAAAGCCCCAGCATTGTCAAGTGCCTCAAGTTTTGGCTGAATCTTCATCGCTTCAGCAAAACTACAAGAAAAGAACAGACAGAACAAATAAAACATTTTTATTTGGTCATAACTTTAAAAAAAGTGAGTCTTCAAGTAGATTTAAAATCATAACAGACTGTAATGAACAAACTAAATATCATATAAAAAAATTAGAATTGCAGCAGTTGTGACAATCAGTTTCCCACAGCAGCCAAACTGTTGGCTGCCAATTTCCTTACAAATAAACAGACACTACACATGTCAGCAATTACCTGTGAAGCACTTTGAGATGTTTTGACACTATAAATGCACCAGGAAGTATTTATTTATTCACAGAATAATTATTAATAATAATATTAATGACTTTAACAGGTTTGCAGGAAGTGATGGGGCCTCCAGTGTTGCATTATGCTAATCATCAGCAACAAAGCAGGAATTGTCACCCGCTGTTGATTTAAAATCAAATACAATACAAATTTACATTTATATAGGGCCTTTCACATCAGGAGGGCATCCCAAAGGTGCTTAACAAGAATGGCTTAGCACTCAAACTAAGGTTGGAAGCCAAGGGAAAGGTGGGTAGCAATAGACCAAAAAACTTCAATACTAAATTACCCTGGAAATTTTGCTTTAAAAACATATGTCTTGCTCAAAATAGCAGCACTCAATTCTGATACTGCTAATTAGGGGGAAAGGTTTATTCAACAAAATTGGATCCAGCTTGTATTTTAGAGTTTACTAGTGCTGCATGTGGGATGTAACAACATATACTACCAGGCCTAAAGCAGTTGGCCAAAATTAGTCTTTTCTACACTCAACAAGGTCTGTGACACAGCACTGGAAAATTACTCCCCAGATGTTTATGGAAAATAACTTTATTAATAAATTACTCTTGTGTAACCAAGCTCACAGTTTGGATCTTTGAACTGAGCTTTTAATTTTTTCCTCAAACCCATGACTGTACAGTGTTTGCATTGGGATAATTGGGGTTTGCGACCGGCTGCCTATCTGTTGACAACTTAAGCTCTTCTGCTTGTAATAATGCAAATGCTGGACAGTATGTTCTCAGTAATTCCATGATTTCCTGCAAAATCCAAGCTTGTAAATGAGAGGAGAAAGTCCAAATCTTCCAGTTCCATTGCTTTACAGCAGCAAAAGGTGAAACAAACTGGTGGAGAGAACAGAGTCCCTCTGTAGTTATTAGAGCTATAGGTTGAGATCGGATAATGCAGTCACTATCACCCATCCACTTCCTCCTCCGAGCCCCCTGGAAAGCCAATAACATAGCTTAGGTGAGAGCCCACCAATTCCCAGGTTGAAGTCCTCTTCAAGGTCACTTTTGTGATTTTATTTAAATGGTTCAATTTTGAGCTGTTAAAGTTGTTCATGGCCACCAAGTGATGGTTTTCTTTCAATGGCTATATCTGTAGCTGTTCAGTGACTTTAAGCTTACAATTGTTAACATGGTGGCTTGTCATCCCATTGACATTACTGTAAAAATAATCTTCTCATTCGAATGACAAGATGAAATCACCACTTTTTTCCTGCTATTTCCTGTTCCCATGTTCCTATAAATAAATAAGTCAGTGTTGTCATGAAGATTCCATTAAGTAAAACAATTGATAGTAAATTTGCAAACATCCTGACATGTTCTTTAATTATCTCAATGCTTTATTTCTATTTTTTTAAAATTGTGTCTATATTATCACTTTTATCAAAATGTTGGACTTTCCAGGGTAAGCGGATAGAGGTTAGTACCTGCATCACCCAATTACATTGTATATATTACATCAAAATGTGTCACCACTGTGAAGAAAATAAACTTGGTGTTCTCACGTTCCGTGTAAAAGTGAAGCATATTTTGATGACTAGAGTGGGCCTTTAACCCAGAGGCTTTAATAATTGGATTATCTCTAGGAGATTACTGGAGAATGTGCAACACAATGAATCACAATCGGCATATTTGGAGAAGCACTTTAGAGAATTCAGAAAAATAACAATCTCTGTGATTTGTACTGTGATTGAATGAGATCGTAAATAAGATCTTGGTTGTAAGTAAAATACAAACTCCCACTATATAAGTGCAATTTGTTATTATAAAGCACTCTAACATGTAGATGAAACCTACAAGAACATAAAGCATTATGAATATTCTCCTTGACACCTATCCTCAACATAACTGAGCAACACTTCAGGATATTAACTGAATCTTAAAACCCATGAGTATTCAATTCTATCAGTTGCATTCAGGAAATGTCATAACCTCCAAGAGCACACAACCAATAGATTATATAGAACATGCCATTACCTATAAGTATCCTTAATATACTTCAATCTAATTCTTAAACTTTTAATTATCTGGCGCTTCCTTTAAAGGAGTTGATCAACTGATTATGAATTACTTTTACTGGCAGTTTTTCTTTCACTCCTTTATTGGGAAATAAAAGCATTTCTTTTAATCTTTTGTGATTTGAGAGTTGTTTATTTTGCACTTTAATCCTGTGGTCACAATCAGAATGAAATCGCTTGATATCTACTATTATCACGCCTTTCAGTATTTTAAAGCAGGTGATCAAATCACATTGGCTATCACTGCAGTTTTTATTAAAGTTACACAATGGTATCTATTTATTCTGAATGTGCTGGTGGGTGTAACAATGATGTGCAATTAATTTCCGAGCCTAAAGAACATTCTGGTTTGCCCAATTTAAATTATTATTATAGCTCAGCAATTTCAGTGGTTGAACTCAGTTTTAATTTGGTAAACGGGAGTCAGTAATTGCCAAACGCACTAATAATGCAAATTAATTTTTTTTAAAATTCTCTTCTTGATTACTGAAAACTCCCTTTTACACGGTCTTTAATATTTCTCCTCAGCATTTCCAGTGTGAATAGAAATTCAAGATTCTTCTCTGAAGGTACTGTTGCCTTAGTGACACATATTGCACAGTGGAGAGATTGAACATTAGGTTATAACCCCACAATTTTCACGAGATGGGGTTACTTTAGCTGGTGCCAAAGTTGATCAGAGAGGAACGGAGAGTTAAGAAGGGGTTTTAACTCATTGGGAAACAGACACACAACAGACACCCCTCAAACACAGACAGAGACACCCACAGACAGAGAGAGAAAGAGAGAGAGAGAGAGAAAGAGAGAGAGAGAGAGGGGAAGCTGGTCATCTGTCCATCTCAGTGGCAGAATGGAGTTTGTTAAACCAATTCAAACAGAGAAGGAAAAGATAGTAAGATAACACAGATGGGAAACAAAATTAATATGTAGCGTTAACCTGGATCTATTATCAGGCATTAAAGATGTCTCACTGTTCTTGGTATTAGTATGTTCTTGATGCAGATAGTAATTAGCATGCAGAATAAAAACCGAGCAAATCAGATTTCCAATTTATTGAAAATGCACTCTAATCTGGGCAAGTCTGAAAAGGAGTAAAAAAAGAGGCAAGCACAGTAGTTCTTACATTGAATTTTAGGAACATATCATTGAAAACTGATTTTGATCAGTTTTAATGAATATAGAAACTACATGGTTGAAATGGGCAGCCTCATTGAAATACCGGCATATCTCAGACACAAAGAATGAAAGGATATTTTGTCTATTCCCTTGGTGCATCTGCATCTAATGAAACATGTTTGTTAAATTAACTTTGAATTTCTGAGTAAACGGTCACTGAAAAGAAAAATTTTGTAAGGTTGATCTTCAGTTCAAACCCTTAATGTAACGCCAATTTATATATTTGGCCTTAACAAGAGATTGAGGCCACATGGTGATAAAGGTGCCTTGAAGTAATCTCTTAATATAATCTTATCATCATTCTGATAAAGGCTCTCAAGTTATTGGCTATGAAATATTTTGTTGTCCTTCATTGGTATGACTCACTGCTGGCACTCAGTTTGTGCATGGTAAAACTGTCATCAATCCTGTACAAGGTTTTGGCTGCACAAACTGATCTATGATTTTCTCAAAATTAAACCCGTGGCTGTGATTGTGGCTTCTAGATCATCTATTTGTTACAAATGGCAGGATGAAAGGATGAATAATAAAATAAATGAGTGGCCAACACAAGTGGATAACTGTTGCCGCACAGGTAAAATAGCAGACATGTAGACATTGAACTTTGATACTCAAAAGACCAAACATAAGAGATTCTGCACAGCATATTTAAGCATCCAATCAAAAGATTAACCAATCCAAATCGTTATTTAGAGCATGCAATTTATGTCATAATACTTGTCTCATGCAACACGATAATAAGAATCATTTTTCTAATCGACTCCATGACATACATGGTCTCAATGAACAATTGGAAGTTCCACCGTAATGTTAACCTGAGAATTTATCCCTGAGCGCTTTCCTACAAACAACTACTCGCGCTCTCACCTATGACTTCTGTACATGTTCAGCAGTAAAATGACAGCTGCCAGACAGCAACATGCAGTGACAGAAGAGCTGAACAGCCTCGACAGAGATCTGGTCCTGTATTCCCACCGAGCTACCTGTCAAATAGAAACGGGCAAGATACACCAGATCAGTCTCGAGTGAAACGCTTTCAGTTGTAGTTGAACAATGCATTCGTAATAACAGAGTCAACAATGGAAACAGAGGCCAACAAGTTTGTCCCCAACCATGTTTCAACTGGGAAATTTTAAAATTGAGTTAAAGATCATCAATCTCCATTCTGAGCATAAGTATCGATAACAGACAGATATTGACAAGTTTACTTATACTATAATTGTTTTTTCTTTCAGTTTCATAAATGAGAGCTGAAAACGGCTCTCGACTAAATTGCCGTTGTTTACCTATCAATGTGTCCTTAAATTATAAAATAACAATGCACCGACAATTCCAGAAGTCTCTTCCAAAGATGCAGAGGCCTGAGTTGCCTTGAATGCCGAATGGGTAAATAAATCAAATCACAGCACTTAACCAGACAGACCAGGAATGTAACACCATCGGTTTTATTGTCCTTCTGCAGCAGCAACCCTGAACTGTGGAATCCTTAAAACTTCCTGTACGTGATACAGATTTCAAATTTTATCAAGAGCCCCAAATTCAAGTATAAAACCTTAATTTGTTCATCGTAATTCTCAGGTCCGAAGCCATAAATGTCTTCTGCAGAGCTATTTAAGCTGCAAGAGTGATGTGATACGTGATGAGATGAGAAATTAAACATACACTTGGGTGCTAAATAAGTTCAAGTTAAGGTGATATATCTGTCATGATTACCCCACGAGACTGCTTGACTTATCTACTTTGTGTGAATGTTAATGAATTCCCTTTATTCCTGTCATGAAAACGTACACATTTGCTATTTCTTCTACATAAGCAAAGCACTCAGAATAAGCTCACATAATCTTTAGCTATTAAACAAAAATGACCTTTACATGTACTACTTGTTAGCTGTCGGTTTCATAATATTAGCAGACGAGCAGGCAAATATGTCTTCTGGTGGAAAAAAAAGCTACCTGTAAAATGTTGATAGTAGATCTTGTGCAAATATGAATGTGATTTATTTCATGGCAGTTTGTGGGACATTGCTGTGTGCAAATTGGCTGCCACATTCACTTAGTCGCATACAGTCACTGCACTTTACAGCACATCCAAATTCTGTGAAGTTTTTTTTATTTGCATACTGCCAGGCTTTAACGATCAGGCTGTGAATATTTATTGGCAAACACATTAGAAACAAAAGTCAATGAGTTTTTTTTAGTACAGCCATTCAATATACAAGCAGAATTCTGGATTTAAACTATTATTAACTGAAAATCTTTCAGTTTTGATAAGCAATGTACTGCTATCTTAAAAGCCAATTTGGCCAATACCATGCGTTACCACTGCTCTATTACCACATGAGCCAAACGTGGCACTTTGCCCACTCCCACATATAACTATCTTTATTGTTAATTTCCTCCCTCGGGGGATCTGGCAGTCTTGGGAAGCAGCTGATGTTGTCAGAAGACAAACTTGTGAAATAGTGACGACAATCTTGACATCAGTTAGGGAAAGGCAATCTTTTCATACAGATGTCACCTGAGGTGAGTCGTCCAGAATAAACTGGGGTAGGAGGCCAACAGTCCACAATGTTACTTGAAATGCACTTCACTCGCATTTTATGTGTCATATTTGGGATAAAGCCCCAGAACAGGGTTGGAAAAAAAAGGGTTGAAATTACTTAACTCCATTTTTTAGAATATGAGTATAAAAAGTGAGTCAAATGTGACATAGCCGAAATGGGCCCTTTGCTGGTGGGGACGTAGGGTGAGGGACTGGGGCCAGGGTGGAACGGTGGGAACGGATAAATATTCTGAAGGATTGCTTCAATGGCATTGCAGATTGCAGTATCTATGAAGAATCTCAGTTTAGTGTGTGATCTGAAGGACAGTACCTACCACCATAAAAATTTACAGCACAAGAGGACAGCCAACCCTTCACGTCAATGCTGGCCTGTGTACCTTCAACAAACCAGTGTTCACCCAATGCTGCACTGAGTGTCAGTTGTAGACTGTGCTAAACGTTCCAATAAAGTTTACAATGGTATACCAAGCATGCGTACAATTTTACCACTCGCAATATAATTTTAGGTGTCAACAATGCAGTCTGAAAGGCCATTGATATTTATCACACAAGCCAGCAAGATTTTGTGGTATTAATTACCGGCAACAGAGGAAAGATTTGCGACATTACACTGTAATTAATTCTGCAACAATATTTGTACAAAACAAAGAAATTAAGAAACCAACCACATAAAATATCCAGCCATTTTTAGAGCATTTTTGCTTTGTAGTATGTTATGGCCCTTTGATGGACTAATAATGCTTGCATTTAGGTGCTACTTATTGCCAGAATTATTGAGATTAAAATTTTGCTGGTTGTACTGTTTAAAGGAAATTCTGGGGCATGTAGTCATGGGTAGGACACAAGCTTTATTAAGCCCAGCAGAGTGAGAGCAGCTATTATGATTAATTAATAATAATCCTTGCATTTGATATAGCGCCTTATCACATCTTCGAGACATCTTACAGCGCTTCACAGAATATACTGTAAAGTGAACTGACTGTATATTTGTGGGCGAAACACAGCAGCCAATTGCGCACAGAAGTGTCCCACAAAGTCGTGGATTAAAATGACCAATTTATTATTGTTTTTTTTTCTTGTGGGATTATTATCAGGTGTGTGGAGTAAAGAAACTCGCCCAAGGAAACTGCCCGGAATTGAAGCCGGGTCCTCCTGCTTGCGAGGCAAGTGCTCTAATCACTGAGCTACAGGACTCCACAATTAATCGCATAAATTACACAACCAACGTGTACATCAGCGGCACTCATTATAATATACCTCGCTGACTATTTAAGTCTGGAAAATTTCATAACTTGGGTCACCTTACGTTAATGTAATCCTCTATTTTTTTAAAAAAAACACTGACATTAAGTTTCAAGGCAGGTCAAGTAACAGTATGTATGAATGACCTAAGAAAACTTTGGCTCTGAGCCACTTCTGTCTTGGAATAATAACTGTTAATAAACAAAAAAACGAAAATAACAGCATGAGAAAAAGACATGATTGGAACATGTTACCGCTGTTTAGAAAATTTGAACAAAACTGTATTGCTGGAGCAACTGAGACACTGATGACATTATCACTTCCGATGAGCCTGGGAAATATGACCAGATAAGAAATTTCAAATCCTGGAGTGGTGCAAATAAGGAAAGAAAGAAAATGTATGCAAATGCTGTACATTCTGGATGGCAGTATGGGAGGGAGCTATCGTACAAGAAATCTAAGACTTTGTACATGGAAAAAAATATAACCTAAGGGGTTTAGTATAAAATTAATCAGGATTTAGTGGAGGGTTTGTGTCATCCAGTTACGAGTGTATATAAACCAATCTTTCTACCTGCAACTGTGAACTACTGCATTGGTTCTAACATGCACTTGAATTCTGGCATGAATATAGGAACAGACATGCTTGCAAACTATGGGAGTCTCTCCCTCTATTAAATTTGTGGGAAACTGAAAAACTCACTGTGGCATTGAAAAACAGGCACACAAAACATGAAGATGAGAGCCAAGCTCTACAATTTTATTTTTATTCTGGCAACATCAGTTATACACATCAAGCATATGCGCACTGCAGATTTGGTATTCAAATACGAACAGAAACTTCCCCTCCTTGTTTACGCTTATGCTACAGCAAATACACATTACAAAAATGAGTGTTGTGGTTTCTCAGAAACAAACACTGACCTCCCCTTTATCCCTTTCCTGGGATAAACTCATGATTTGTACCCTGATACAAGTTCAATTTTGCCAACAGCATTTAACAGATTAAGAGTTTATCTTACGTCTCCATTGAGATGAGTGTACTTGGTTCAGTTAAAGCTCCTTTTTNAAAATAAATAGATCCGGTGCTAATTAAATTCACTGTTAAATGCATGTCTCAAATTTATTTACTATGTACATGGATAAACTATCCTGAGAAGGCACCCTTGATCTGTACGTCAGAAACTCTGTCACATTTTTCAAAAGATGTAAATGGATAATATTGGTTTTCCATGAAAAAANTCTATAGGGTAATGTAATTTTAGACTCAACAGTTGAAATGGAAAGAAAGGTCGCAGAGTAAGTACTTTTCTGTTGAAAATACATTAGTTTTCCAAAATGATAGTTCTAAATATATTTTCATTTTTTCAATGTTTGATTTATATCAATCTTAAATTTTTCGGGCACCACTTCTCCTAAGCAGTTCCATTGAAGTAAGCAAAAGTACCCACTTCTTCTCAGAATACTTGTATCTCTATTTCTTTCAGTGCTGATCAGAACTTCAGATCTTCCTGGGAGGTGACCTAAAATCAACCAATTACACAAATATACAGCAGTGATTCGCTATAAACCATGGAAATATTAGTGATTTATTCTGATTTAGGCCAAGAGACAATGTTCTTCGAACAACAATCCATAAAATTATTTCCTTCCAGATTACCATTATTAGTAAACAGATTGCAGCCCTTGTTTATTAGATCTATCTCCCACACTGTAAACATCAAGCAATTGTTTTTCCACAACAAGAATACTTTCATCATCACTTGAATTTAATTATTAATAATTTGTCATCATATGGAATAGAAGGTTAATTGCACAGTAGCTCTTTTTTCCCTAATTGTCTTTGGTCATATGCCATTTAATTGGCCAGATTGGCATAACAAAGAGTTGATGTGGACCACTTAAAGAGTCATGGGTCATTAAACTATATGGAACGCCAGTATTCACACAAGAGTATGAATGTGATCCATCCATTTTGGCAGATTGCAGCCAGTAGAACACTTACATCTTCCAGTTTATAGTGATACATAAGATTTGTCTCTGATATCTGGCTGCTTCTATTCCCATTTTGTTTGTTTTTCTACGACGATGCCTACAGTCCTCCCACTGAAGCAGGATTCATTTTCTAAGTTCAGTGCAAGCCATGTTTATTTAGATTATACTTGGGAAACTTTTTCCT